CACTTAGAGTTATTGATTTACCTCCTTGCAGCAAACAGCCTGATTCAGTTTAGCCTGATTAGAAGGGGGGAAAAATCTGTCTCTGCCTCCCAGAAATTTGCCTCCTTGCAGCAAACAGCCTGATTCAGTTTAGCCTGATTAGAAGGGGGGAAAAATCTGTCTCTGCCTCCCAGAAATTTGCCTCCTTGCAGCAAGCAGAAAGCAGCAAATAACCAGTTTCACCTATTGCTGCCTCTGCAAGCCCCATTTGCTGCAAGGAAAATTACTGGGAAGCAGAAATCAGCAGCTGAGGGCTAGTGGGTAGGCGGGGCTACATTCGGTGTATAAGACACAGCCAAATTTTCACCCTCTTGGGGTGGGGAGGTACATCTTATGCTCTGAAAAATACGGTATGTAATACAAGTCAACAATGCCAGATTAATGTCATACATTCATGAAAATAATCACTGCTGTGCATAATATGGAGCAGAAGTGAACATTAATAGCTATCTTCATTACCATTACCGTTGATAACATTAATAGAATCATGAATATTCAGATGCTCTCAAAATTGGCCCAATACTATCAATATCTAAATCGTTTTCTTCATATGAAATCGATATCATTGTAATGACTGAACGTATCTTTTTTTCACATTCCCTTCCTCAGGTTTATAGTGAATGACAATAGTTGCAGAAGCAGCCCTTGGGAGGAAAAATCCAAAGGGGCAGATTATAGTAGAGCATATCATATATGCATGTGAAAATGCCTCAACCTGCCAATCAGAACAGCTGTAGTATTTTGCATTGTTTGGTGTTGCCAGAAGCTTAGAAGTTCATTTTGGGAGAGGAAAATGTTGGTAACTGAAAGAAAAGTTATACTCCCACTGTAAATCCTTAAAACATTTTTTTTATTATATCTGAACAATGTCTTTCCTTTAAGTAACCACAGATGACCAGTAAAAAATGTGGAGGGGGAAGCAAATCGATTGTTCTCTTGTTTGGTATTACCTATGAGATTTAAATGGGATTTTCCAAATGAGTACGCCTATCTCAGTTTCTCATGATACAGACAACAGAATTAATGACAAAGTTATATTGGAGACCAAAAGAAAGAATGGCCATTGTTCATTATTTGCTCCATTGCTCTTGCAAAGCATAACATGATGTTCAGCAAAAGATCGATACAAAAACAAAATCAAAGATATGCAATAACCTAATTTCTTATCAGTATGATAAGAGTGGGAGGAAATACACTGACCTGCCATGGATGTGATCCTTGTTGTACTTGGCTTCCACCAACAATCCGAGCAAAGTGGTTATAAAAGCCCCATGAATCGCTTCCAAGGACTTTCTGCCCACATCTTGAATCTGAAAAGCATAGAAAAGAGACAATTAGAAAACAGGAATCCTTGGTACTATTCATCTACTTTATTTAATATCTAAATTTAAATTGTCCCCAAATTATTGAAGTTTTCTAAATATTATTTAATACTAAGGTGTATTTTTAATCATATTATTCTTAATGCAAGGGGGAAGATTCTGATAAACAGAAATAGAAAGAATTTTCTTCATCTTTTTAGAATTCTGCAGATCAGGTTAAACTATGCTATTAAAAGCAATTAAGTAGTATCTATAAGTGCTCAATTCTAAACGCAAGTGACTTAANTTCCCTCAAGCCTCCGGGAGGGCGAAAATTGCTTCCCCTGGGCTCCAGAGGTCCTCCAGAGGCCTGACACAGGTGCGTTTCCAGATTTCTGAAACTTCCGGTAGGCTCTTTCCCCCCTGTCCTCAAGCCTCTGTGTGCACCCTGCACTTACCTGGCATGATGAACAGGCCCCATGGAGACTCCTGGGAGGGGTGGGAGGGGCATGGCTGGGGTCAGAGCCAGCCAGGGGCGGCATTTGGGAATTTGCCGAACTGGGCAGAATCCTAGCTAGAGGATCACCAGCAGCCGATCCCTGCCTCCAACTACATAGGGGATGGACGAGAGGCTCAGAAGAGACCCTCCCTAGTTTCTTAGGCTGAAAAGGAGACAGGGGCAAGGAGTTTTGTATTTTCTCATATTTGCAAGATTCTGTCATTGTAGCTTTAAAATAAAGTAGAATTAGCTCATCTGGTTGTGATTCCTATCTGGTTAACCCCACAAGGCTGACAAGGGATGAGAAAGATTCCCTCAAAAGACAGACATAAAAAATTGGCTAAACATAGGTGTTTTTGTTTTGTGGGGAGGGGGGAGTTTTGCAAGGGGAGTAAGTTTCTACAGTCATAAATTCTAAACAGGTAAAATACTATTATCAATGGAATGCTAATTGATGTTAATAATGAGATAAATCACAGTATTGGTGATATTTTGTTGTTACCGGCATCTATGTGCTGCTGAATCCAAGGGAGCACCTTGGTCAGATCAGTAAAAACTCCTGGAGTTCCTCTTTTCTCATACTTCCTTTGCAGATTATAAATCCAGCTTCGAGCACATCCTATGCCCCATGAAGTCACTCCAATCAGGGTCCAAGAACCATGCTTACGTTGGCACACAAGTGAGCCTCCAGAATCCCCCTGCAGGAGAATCATTTTTTTTATTCCAAAAGGAGAAACAACTCATGAAGTTCTTTAGTTATTGGATCTTGCACATACTCTCTTTTTTGCAAACTGGTGGGACAGCTCATTCCAGCCAGGCCACGTGATAAAGTTTCATAAAATAGGCAATGTTTCCTAGGGAATAAATTATGGCAGGACTTAATGTCTGAAAGACTTCACCGAAAAGTTGACCTTGGCAAGGGAGAAGAATCCATGTGAGATCCAGTTGAGGTGAGAAAAATATAATTGGTCGGTCTTTATCAGTGAATAGATGCCTTTTTGATGCCTTCACTAAGTTTGCAATAAAAATTGCAGGACTGTGGATTAAAGAAGAATAGCTAAACTATTGGATCCTACTACTTGAATAATATGTCCTGTAAGGATAGGAGTGAGCTGCTTTGAAATTTGGTTTTTTAGAAATGTGTAGATATGGCCAATACGTAGAGCTATGACTGTGAGGAACCTATTCTCTCTTAATTGTTCAAGGATGCTTCTCTATTCATCAAAGGCCTTCCGAAAGGCTATTAAGACCTGGCTGTTCCGGCAGGCTCCGGGCTGTTGAACTCATGACTGAGTTCCAGCCCCGATTAGACTGTGTGTATATTGTGGTCTTTTTTTTAATCTATGTTTCTGTGTTTTTAACTTTTTTATTTTTTAAATGCATTGTTGTAAGCCGCCCGGAGTCCTTCGGGATTGGGCGGCCT